TTTTTTTATAGGCATTTAAAGTTCAAATTTCTACAAAATGTATCATAATCTTGACAATTTTCAAAATATTTTGTTGTCAGATACATACACAAATTTCTTTGTTTACCCATAATATAAAAATGTAATAAAAGTTTCCTCATAAGTAGTTATTATAATAGCAGTTGAGAAACAATAAAATCCATAGGCACGGTTTTTTAATAAATACCTAATTAAAGTTCAATTTTTAACATAATTTATCAAATTGATTATTTACAAATTTCTATTTAGTAGTTAAAAAAATATAAAATGTTCAACTTTTATTGCTAAGGATTGAAAATGTAAAACAAGAATTCTCATAAATAATCTATTAAAAACACAGTTAATTTGTATAGAAATTATAAGTTCAAATTTGGACGAAATTACTTATTAAAACAAAGAATAACGATTTTAGTTATTTTGTTGTAATTTAAAAATAGTAGCTGGTATTGTGGTTATAAATTATAATCATGATAAATTATTTCACGCAAATTTAAAATATTTCACGTTTTATTATTTTTTCATAGCGAAATAAGATTTATTTGTTACTATGCATTTTAGAAAAAATTAAAGCGAAATTAAGCCCCAAAAGAATATGAAAACAAACTTACTTTAATTATCGATTCTTTCGGAGGAATCCGTGACGTGTGTGAACTGTGACGCCGATGAGGAAACACTCCAAAATATAATAAAACTTTAAATATTTTGATTTATAAAAAATAAAATTATACGGAACGCAGTAAGTTTTTTACTGATGTGTGCTTTGCTCATTGAAATTTTAGAATTTTTAATCGACTGTGTCTTCTGCAACGATTTGAGATTTGCCATAGAATATAAATGAAATTAGATATTATATTATACTAGGGAACGTCAATATGATGGATCCACGGATATAATGTAATGCAACTTTTTATAACAAAGAGTTCCGTGTTAAGGAACAATTTGTTCATTGAAAATTGATACGACAATAAACCTAAACAATTTATAATTTTGAATTTGAATTATAATAATATGATTTATGTATTATTTAAATTACTATTTTCGTATATTAATTTAATTATTGATCAAGATGGAGAATAGATATCTGCAGAAGTACAAGCATATTTTTATAAAAGCATATTGTAATTTATGAACCATTAAATAAAAATGTGATTACTGGATTTTAGAGTTAACATAAAGGAACTCAGTAAATGCATCAAATTTACAGTACCTACCGACTATAATACCAAATAGACTGTAAAATTCCAAGTCTATAATTATAACTGCTGAATACAAAATTAATAATAATGATTAAATATTTTAATTTTAAAACTTATCGGATATATTTTAGATTTGGGATTCTGGGTGGATCGATGACTGTATTAATATTACAATGATGTGTTCTTCAATTTTTTTTAATTTTTTTTCCCTGTGGTTGTGTAAACGATAAGTATTCGTAATAAAAATTCAATTTTTATATATAATATTATATTACAGGCATTTAGAATGTAATCAAATGTTTATTTTTATTTTAGTTGTAGGTATTTAGTAAATAATAATAGGTACTTATACGATGTGTTTTCAAATAATAATTTATTGTTTGTATTAGTATCTACACCATAATAGGGAACTAAAATGTAAAATTTTTATTTGGTAGGTGTGCATATGTACAAATGTATTTTTGGTGTTTTAAGACTGCTGTATGATCAATTTATGAGAATCCTTGCATTAAATTGTTAAAATTTTTTTATATAAATAATTATTTTGTAGAATAGGTCCTAATTTATTAGTCGATAAAAAACTATTTACCCTAATTGTTAATAATAATAAGCTATAAAATTACAAGATTTCAATAAAAAAAATAGGTATCTATGAAGTATAAACACCCGTAGTTCTATTAACTATAAATTCTTAATTGTATGAGCTATACATATTACGTATATTTTTCGAAAAAATTATTTAAAAAAACAAGAATAATTCCTATTTTTTGGTCACATGGGTTGATCTAGCAACTGACTGCTACGACAACTGTGCAATTTTTCTAAGCATAATCTGTTTTGAAAATCTCCAGAAATAAGTTTGTTTGAAGACTGTCTATTGATAACAACTATAATTTAATTTAAAGTGTATTGCAAAACATTTAATAGGTAGGTACCTATATCTAGCCATCTAGGGTATAAACTACATGCTAATAAAATACATGAGGCTTATAATGTATATAAAATATAAATATTGATAACATTAGACAGTGGCGTCCGCAATATTTTTCAATGGGGGGGGGGAGGGGCTTGAAAATTAGTTACATTTTTATTTTGTCCAGTCTAATAATTTCAGACGTTTATTTGAGGTATTTTAAAATGTTTGTAACTTTTCAACTTTTCTGGTAGAAAAAATGCTCTGATCATAAGCTTCGATGCCTAGTGTATGTTTTTGGAAGCAAATTGGATCTAGTTGGTACTTATTTAGGAGGTCGAAATTGAAAATTCTAAGTGCTTTTAAAAATAATTGGAGAAAAAAAAATGAAAATTTATTTAAATGTTTTGGTTATACCGTCTTCACTTGGATTGTATTTGAATAATTAAATTTTTTTTTTCTATATAAATGTCAATAAAAAATTATTTATCCGGTCAAAAACCTTAAAAATGTAATTCGTAAGTTATTTTATTATAGCTAAAATATTAACGATACATAGGCATAGTGTTTGAAAATTTCATGAAATTTAAAAAAAATGAAATATTTCAGTATTTTGATATATTTTGTTTTATTTTTAAATAAGTTTTATATTTACATATAATTGTTATAAATTACCTTCATAACTATATGGTACCTGTGTATGTATACCTAACCTTTGGTATTATATATTTAAAATAGTATTCAACATTTTTAAATGATACAAGTAGGTATACAATATTATAGGTACATGTATATTGTATAAATACTGAATTCTGTCATTAGAATTTAGAACACTGAACATTGTGTTAAAAAAATAAATAAATTGTGTTTTTATTTGTGTAAAAAAATTTCAAAGTGTCACGTTTTTGTGAAATATTTCATACTTCAAACACTACATAGGCACCATGGTTATTTTTTATAAGCATTTAAAGTTCAAATTTCGTCAAAATTACAGTTAATATGTAGTTCAAAACTTTTAAATATAAAATATATATAGCTATAAGGCTAGACAATTTAATACAAGGTCTTTCATACAAGTAGTTCATACTTTTAAGCAAAATTTACAGATAATTGAATAAAATAAAATGAAAATTGGTATGCAAATACTATGTTTTTTCAAAAATGAATTCATTCTGGTAAGACATATATGAAATTTACTTCTTGCTTACTATAGTTGACAGTATAACTTGATTAATATTTTTTTGAAAAAGTAACAATAATACGGGCAATGTGGTGGGGCTTCATCCCTTTAGTCCCCCCCCTGCGGACGCCACTGACATTAGGTATATTGTATTATTGTTTTAAATACTTCGTGCAAACCTAAGGTGATACCCGGCGTATAGTATATGCAAAAAGATACGTATTAAACGTGGCGTGGTGAAACGAAGACGGCCTTTGGACTGTTCGGTCCCTCGTATTTTACACATTGCGCTTTTAGGATTAAACTTTTAAATGCTTCTACGTCACCCAGTTAACGCAGAGTGTCGGTGGCAATAAATATTTAATTTAAGTCTTAACGTAAATGTAAAATAGTATTAATATGAAAACAATCTTACTCGTAAACATCGACTCCTCTTCCGGTGAAACCTAGCTAGAGTGCCGCCGTCGCCGAAGAAACGGCCATCTTCATCCATCATCATCTCGCTCCGAATTGAAACTTGAAAGTAGGTATCGAAATATTTTATGAAATTAACCTGATTATAACGAAATGTGCGAGTTTGTTCTAAAACATACAGTATAATGTATACGGCTTAACGAACTATCTATATTATTTTTTTGTTCACTGAAATTATTAGAACTGTTAATCGTCGCCGACGAATGTCGACAATTGACAATTGCCATGGATATTACTATAAAATATATCATTTACTATGATAAATCCATAGAACTTATATAATATTTTACTCGGTACCTATACGGTACCCATACATTGACTGTGTCCAGGTCCCCGAGAATCCTAATTGCGGAACTGGTCATGGATAGCGAGAAATTGTCCTGCTATGATCCATTTGTGTTCAAGGTACGATTTAAGATATATCTAAGGTATATCTTAATTCGTGGTTCAAAGCCACAGCCACCAGGTTTGGCCGAATCACACAGTGTCTAATGTCCAAGGCATAGTTTAATCAAGCACAACAGGAATATTGTATCCAAGAATAATATTATAATATATTCTATCCTATACCTACCTACTTAATTAGATAATACTAGAGAATTACTGTTATAATATAAACAGTCAAACCCAATCTTAAGGAGTTACTGCATTAAACCTTGAATATTCCAAGATTTTGCCATCAGCTAAATCTCAAAAATCCAATTCGTTAATGAAATGAACAATTTACTTATTTATATGTGTACAGTGTACGTAATGATTGAGACACTCACACTCATCAACTATTGCAATAATGTATGAAGCTATGTGTTATATTACACTGACCATATTTAGGTGAATATTAGGTAGTAGGTTGGGTCAAGTACATATTTCTGCAAAGGTAATATATTAGATATTTAGATCCACAATCTTGCTGCAGGTGTCACATTAACAGAACTACAAAAAAAAAGTGATTTATATTTTCTCATAATTATAATAACTAAAAAAACAAATTGAGAAAAATAATAGAAATTGATATATTTATTCTACTTTATGAGATCTTTTGTGATATCTTACAAAGTTACAAATTCAATTAAAAATACACTATGTCATTATAGAAAAAAAAAAAATAAGAATGATTCACAATAATATTGTATTAAATATATTTATACATGTCCAAGTTTATAATAAAGATATACAATACAAAAACTAAACCATTTACAAAAATGTATAGATTAATTTTCTAAATTCTTTTTGTAGTTTTGATTTTTTCTTGAATACTAGTAGGAAAATTTGAAATATATTTTCTTGCACATATAGAGCAGAAAAACTTGGAATAAAATATACTGCATTCAGGTTTAATGCAAACGTCTTTATCACACATAGAACATACCGATCCTAAGATTAAAAATTGTCTTTTGCTGCGTGGAGAAAATGGATCTCTCGCTAAATAGTAATCAACTTTTGTTCCCACCTTGCGATTAAAAGATACATGGTCGTTAAAACAATCATATCGTTCCGTCAGATTACAGTTTTTGCACACAAAAATTGGCCTCTCTTCAACAACTGGTTCTGTTCTATAAAAAAAAATAGGTAAAAAAATATTTAAAATGAGTTAACTTATTTATACACAATACAAAAATATTAGTAATGTAATCTAAAGCTATGTGCTAAAAATATGCAGATTAACCAAAGAAAAAAATCATAAGTAATTTGATTTCCATTCATATTTTTTAAACTTATGTTTTATTTGTCTAAATATTAAAATGTTTAATTTGTTGAACTAAAAAAACGCACGCACACGTCACAACACAACTGAAATAGAAGATCAAGAAGTTAAGACTATTTCACATAACATGTTTTCCACTAATTGCTTAATGTGGGCACAAAACACTGACTAGTAGCGTTTTATTTTTATTGTTTACTAATTTTACGTCACAACAATTCCCATACATTTTATACAGCGCAATAATATAAAATTGCAACTTCACATACTTAACCATGGTACCTTGAAATGGATTTCTATGTCATCTATACTCCGGCCCACGAGAGTTCATACGTAAACCGTGCATCAATATAGTAATACGCGACGTCTATTTTCTCCCACCATGATGTCATTCCCACTATTCGGCAACATGCAGATGCGCAGCGTCGGACAAGTTTTAACGGACGTTCTCTCGTGGGCCGGAGTATAGCATTAAATATGACTTAGCAAGATTGATATACAAATGCATGATTGTTTGTTGCACTGTTGATTAATAATAAAATATTATACAATTTACAGAAATTTACTCAGGTGTACCATGGCTTAGTTAAAAAATCACCTAAGTTGAAAAAAGTATTTATAAAATTTACTCAGTGTTAACTGTCTTTGTTTCTTCAGCTTTATTATCTGGAGTTTTAGTTCTTTCAGAATCTTCATCATTTTTACTTTTCTTAATGTTTATTTCTGTTTCTGGTTTTACAATTAAAGGATGCTCTTGTTTGACAGACATATTTTAATTTCTAGAAATAAATATAAATTATAACTAATTATATTATTCGCTCATCAACAATAATACAGCTTTTCTTTAGTCATTGTTATCAGAGACGCAATTTGAGGGCTTGGGTGTGCCCTATTACAATGTAAATTTTAATAGAAATTTTGCCGGTGTCCATAACCATAAGATAATATGAGAAATAACTAGAGGTGCTTCAGAAGTCAGCACCTCCAGTTTTTTCATTGAAACTGCACCCCTGATTGTAATTCAACAATGCAATTACCTACTTATGTAAATAATTCTATGTTAGGGATAACTTAGGGACACAGGTGATGTTCTTAGGTTAAAGTTTGAAGATGGGTGAATTCACTCTAATATTATAAGTAATAACACAGAGTTGGTTCTATTAAATATAAATTTGGTATGTTGCGCATGTATCAGGAAAGAGAAAACAAATGGTGAGCCGACATCCTAATAACAAAAGATCAAGACATATGAACTTACAAAGTGGGTGTTGTTATTAATTGTTCTGTGCCTATGTAGTGCGTAGTCAGTAGTGATTCAACAGGAACCGTAGTACCGGTATTATGTAATCTATACTTGTGTGATTTTTTTTGATGTTGCGTCTTGATGTTGACTTTCTGTGATATTGAGATAATTATTAATTTTTATGTTCATAGAAATCATGGACATCATTAATTATACGTCTATAAAATATTATGATAGAAACGTTCAAACTTACATAATATCACGAAGTCCAAAGATCTGTCAATCTGTGTTGGTTGAATTGGAAGACGGCTCCTCTGCAGCAGTCGGTTCGAAAGTCACTTCGAAATTCAAATCTCAAGTCTCAACGGCTCAATGATCGATATATCGACAGGGATGGGCAAGATACTCAAAAATCAGTATCGAGATAGTAGATACTAGATACCTGGATTTGGAGTATCGAGATACTAGATACTCGATACTTGGCTCTAGAGTATCGCGATACTAGATACTCGATACTTGGCTTTGGACTATCGCGATACAAGATACTCGATACTCGATACTCAATACATTTTAATAAAATTAGTCACTGGATTTTTAAAAATTATGTTTATTATTGTGGGTATGGCCACTTCATTAAGAGGACGCCTCACCCACATGTGTTGTCTCCGTCTTACACACATACGACATACCAAATGTTCGTTGGCTAGTTTCAATATGATATTGTCAGTTTTTATATTAGAGTGAATTGACCTATTATCAAACTTTTAGGTAACAACATTATCTGTGTTCTCTCGTTGATTTTCTTACGATATTTTAATTTTTAAGTGAATTATGGGTATGTAAAATTGTAAAGTATTCATATTCTAAAATGTTCATAACTCACTTAAAAATTAAAATATCGTAAAAAACCAACGAGAGAACACAGATAATGTTGTTAGGTACCTAAAAGTTTGATAGTAGGTTGATTCACTCTAATATCAAAACTGACAATACCCTATTGACTATTGAAACTAGCAAACGGACATTTGGCATGTCGTACGTGTGTAAGACTGAGACAACACATCCGGGTGAGACGTCCTCTTAAGTAATTAGAATGAAAAATAAAATAAAAAACATTGACACTTTCAGTAATAATAATACATTAGTCACTTTTCAAAAGTGGTTTCTGACCAGTAAAAATAATCGTAAACAATTAATTTTTCAAAGTATCGCTTTAATGTATCGAGTATCTTTCGATTAAATTAATTCATGAAATACTCGATACATTGACTAAAAATGTATCGCGATACAAGATACTCGATACTTCACATAATTGTATCGAGATACAAGATACAAGATACAAATGTATCTAAGATACGTATCTTAGATACTTGTATCGAAGATACTGCCCAACCCTGTATATCGATGGCTCAATGGCCTCAATGTAAATAGTAAATTGTAAACATTGAATCATGCACACAATATTTAAAACGAAATTCTGTGACCAATGTTTAAAACTTAAATTTGATAAGGCCCATAATCTTATCTATAATCGTGATGTAAATAACGACATGCCTAAAACGGTTCCGAAAACTCGAATACTACGCAAACGTCGCAAACACAACGAAAACCTCGAAAACCAAGACGGCAAGACGGGTCAATATTTATCATATTTTTAACGATGTTCACCTACCACTGAGAGTAGATAAAGAAATTATGCTTCCTAGTGCTGACCGCATACAACTTGACTACCCCGTTCGTGAGTCGTGACTAAATGTACAGTAAAATAGTAAAAATTTAAAATGAAACGCGTAAGGCCGTAGCCCCGCCACCACCTATTGACCGCGTATTACATTTATTTGGAAAATGATTTCGAAAAATGGTATCGTAAGTGTTTACGGTTTTCTGTTGGGCTTGTCCATCTTATTCGTGTGGTTGCTGCTTCGGAATAGTGACCTGCTGGACACCTACGTCGACCCTGCAGTTGTGAACCCGTTGCACTTGTTTATCGTCTACGCAGCCATCGCCAACGTCCTAGTACGCGTCGTCAACCGAGGAACAACGTATAAAGTGAGTATTGTGGTCGCCAGACGGGCCACAGTGTGCAATTACTAGTGTACCTATTTTAACATGTCGTCTACAAATCTCTCAGGTATGTGCCCAGGCCTTGTTCTTGGGTTTGGCCATGGCTGCAGGATTGCTGATCTCGATCCAAGCACCGGCCTCCTGGAAGCCTTTTGGATGGTAATAAATGTCGATCTATAAACCCTTTAATGTACCTACCTGTTGTTTATCAATGTGTAACAAAATACAACTATTGTGTTTATGATAATATATTGTTCTTAGTTTTAAAAAACATACACTTCCATATCACCTTTCAAATAGCTAGGGAATTTTCTGTGATGTAACTAGCAATTGACACTAAGACAAAAATAATGAAATTGAACTTTTGAGGAACATTAGAAGGGATTACATTAATTCAAAATATTACTGTTTACTTATCATGAAATTAATTCAATTTGACGCTAGTTTCGAGTATTATAGTTAAAATGCACTTTCTGAAAGTTAAGTCGGTGTATCAAATGTTGCACATATAGTTAAGAGAAAACTACCCCCATATGTTGTCTATCCTACAAATATACGACATAGAAAATTTACATTCAGATATTCAATATAACCAATATTGTATCGTTAGCTTTAATATTAGAGTGCATTGACTTACTTTTAAAATTAAGAATATTATCAGTGTTAGTATATAAATTTATTTACAAAATTAAATTTTTCTGATATATGAACATTTTGAAATTGCGTTGTTATTTAAGTTACATACTCTTGAAGTCATTACTCATTAAATTGAAATATCATAAATATAAGCCAGTTTAAAACAGAAAAATACAATATTTCCAAGAAGAAAAAGTTGATGTATCAATATGTGGTAGTTACATACAGACTCAGACAGAGCAAAATTTTCAAGGAAGAAATTCTTAATGGTTTAACATAAGTTTAATAACAGATGTGATTTTTTTACCCATCATACATATCTTATTATCTAATTAATCATCAGGGTTTAGATATGTATAATAAATAGTTAAAACTATTTGATACTTAATTTAAAGAATAACCAATATATTTTATTTGTTTTACATACAGGTACATATGTGTGATGGCCATATTTCATTACTCAGAGTTCCTCAGCATAGCTGTGTGTAATCCTAAAACTCTAACGTCCTCATCGTTCATGTTGGATCACAGTATCGCTTATGGTGTAGCTGCTACAACTAGTTGGCTCGAATATTTATTGTGGCATTACTTCTTACGTGGTAATGAAGCCTTTAAAATGCATTAGATTCTCTACATAATTTACATTTTTAAGAAGACGTTACACCGACATTTGTTGTTTCCGTTTTACAAGTGCATAACATAGCAAATTGAAGGCTCAGGAGAACACGTTTAACTCTGTTGGCTTAAAAATTAGGGTGAATTGACTTGACCTCTTATAAAATATAAAGGTAAGATTATTATCTGGCAATCTAACAAGCATATGCTTACAGGAGATGGATAAATCATTTTAATGTTTTTATTAATATGTTATTTTCTGTCAGTATAAAAAAAAACTCATTGGCTTTTTATTATATTTTAATTTTAAAGCTTGTTATGAGTATTTTAAATTTTTAAATTGTTTGTACATCATAAAATACTCATAACTCGCTTTAAAATTAAAATATAATATAAAGCCCATGAGATTGCCTAGATAATAATCTTAACTTTAAATTTTATAAGAGGTCAATTCACTCCAATTTTTAAGCTAACGGAGTTAAACGAGTTTGCTGAGCGTACAATGACATACTATGCTACGCACTTGTAAGGCGGAGACAACAAATGTCGGTTTAACGTCCTCTTAATTTATTTAAGAGTAAGGAGATTCTTTAATTATTTTAATTTAGTTATGTATCTTATGCAGTAATATTATTTGAAAATTATTATCGACAACCAAAATTATAGTTTGCAACATCCAACCACTTTGGCTATAGGATATTTTGTGCACAATGCAAAAACCAAATTGATTTATAATACTTATAGTATAATATACTATAGTAGTATAGTCTATATCATAACATAATTATACTATAAATCTATACACAAAGCAATAATTATATTCTTCTCTTTCTCAGATATGAAAACTATTCATGAAATCAGTTACTTTGGTCTTCTGCTATGTGCTTTTGGCGAGGCTTTGAGAAAAGGTGCCATATGGACTGCTAGAGATAACTTCACGCATTTAGTGCAGCAAGAAAAAGCACAGACCCATACACTGGTCACACACGGAGTGTACTCGTGGTTCAGACATCCTAGTTATGTTGGATGGTTTTACTGGTCCATAGGCACACAGGTAATGTATACAAAATTAATATCATGGTTAATAACAAAACACAGAATATACGGTTTTATTACTTATTTAGATTGTCATGATCAATCCCGTGTGCGTGGTGGCGTATGCGCTGGCCAGCTGGAAATTCTTCAAGGACCGAATCTACTACGAGGAAATCACGCTCTTGAATTTCTTTGGAGAAGACTACATTTCATATCAGGAAAAAGTCGGAATCGGCTTACCGTTTATCAGGGGATTTGTGGTGACACGTGACAAACAATAAGAAACAAATGTTTATCCAACTCATATTATCAGATTGGAAATAAACATTAAAAACATTCTAGGCAACCATATTGTAAAGTTGTTTCAATTTTGTTTCGCACATGATAAATTAACCAAGTGCATACAAATATGTATATAATATATTTAAAGTATAAAAATACAAAGTAATACAAAAATCTATTGTTAGATTACTTTTTGTGTAAAATAAGCGATTAAAAAATAGCACTTATATTTATACTTATGTATATTATATATATTTTTTTATAACATGTATTTTGATATTAATAATAATCATAATAATAATAAAGGCTTAATCTTATTTTATAATTTGATTTTCATTCATATAAAGTAAGATTCAAGTAGGAACAGGAACTTATACAGGGTAATTATGATAAAAAAAAAAAAAAAACGAAGTAAAAAAAATTGGTCTGAAAATAAGAGAAATCTTAAAATATACGTAATTGGCAATTTTTTTATATCCCATGTTAAATAAAACTAATAAATGTATAAATAATACGTTTCTATAAAAAAAAAAAAAAACATTATTCAAAATATATTATAAATATTGCGTTAGGATAAGTATTTTGGCACTTTGTATTAATATTGCTGAACTTATACTAAAATACCCCTTTTATTGATAGTTGCCCCCATGTTATCAATAATACCACTGGCCGCTTTGACTATGTCCCAATTAGTATTTTCCAAAGCGCTTAAGCACACACTGTGCTTGATATTGATATAGCCTCCGGCCTCCAGAGCTGCTTCTAGTTTGGCCAACTTTATCGCATGGTGCACATCCCAACCAGTAGCTCTTAACTTGTCCAAACACTGTTCACCAGACACCTGGTATAAGAAAAAAAAATTTCACGCAAATCAACAATATGGATATCATCATTATGTATTTATGAACGAAATAAATACATACTTTGGTCCCGAGAACTTTGATCATAATTCTGACTTCATCACAGTCCAGACCCCGGCCATGCTCAGGCCGATCCACAACATCGACACCTCTGTCAAACGTTTTTTGCTGCTCAAAGTTTTCCTCTTCGTCGCAGCCGGGTTCAAGCATCACAGGGAAGGTGTGTGCTTGCCGTTCAGCTACCGGTGATTCAACAGCGCCCAACTGGTCCAGGGCATCTAGTTCTAAGGCGATTCTCTCGTCAAAACTCACTTCAGTGGTACTAAAAACCATGTGAAAACCAATGTCATATACTCATATCATACTACGTTGATCTAAATAAAAACATGAACATTATGTGTATTTTCTCTGTCTCTCCCTCTCTGTCGCCGACGCAAAGTTTCCATACATTTATCGGGGCCTAGAATGCGGGTCTCGTCCACGGTACAATAGCTCTGTCGATAGTTAGGGGTTACCTTATATCGTTATTTAGTATACACTTATATTCTATATATAAAAATGAATGTATGTCAGTGTGTGTGTGTCTGTGTGTCCATGTTACCATGGTTACCAAGGTTGCCTTGGTTACTAAGGTTACCAAGATTTCATATCAATCTATATATATATAAATGAATGTATGTCAGTGTGTGTGTGTGTGTGTGTGTGTGTGTGTGTGTGTGTGTGTGTGTCCATATTACCATGGCAACCATATCTGTATATAAAAAACAGTAAGCTGATTGACTGCTATCAACGCACAGCTCAAACCATTGGACGGATCTGGCTGAAATTTGGCATACAGATAGCTATTATAATATAGACGTGCGCTAAGAAAGGATTTGCCAAAATTCGCATTTTAAATAGGTGCTGAAACAGGGACATTGAGATTCACGATAGAAATTGGAAATTTTATTTTTATTTATTTATAGTTGCCATTGGTTACAGTCTACATTAGAAATTAGCATTTATTTATTGGTTGCCATTGGTTATTCGGGCAGATCAGGTACAAGCTTGCATCAAATCGAATTATTGAACAATGCTTACCAGGGTGGCAGAGTTGCACTTACCGCAGAAAATTACACCCAAAAGGAGTTCAACAATCATAATTTTTTTAAGAGTTGCGATTTTTTACGAGCAACCAAATTTATTATATTAATCCACAGTATTACATCAAAATAAACTTGGTATAACTTTGATACTTTAGAGTTAAATCATACACTTCCGTACAAACAGCACGGGGTCCGCGATCTACCGCAGGTAGATTGCCTACCTGATAATGTACTGCTGCGATTCAGAATTTTTATTCAGGGCAACGGGAAAGATAAGATAAATTTTGAACACCATACACCGAATATTGAATAATGAATTGAACATAGTTTGAGTAGGTAGTATTGAGTTGATCCATTTAACGGGCGACGAAGTGCACGGGATCAGCTAGTATTCTATATAATTTACACTGTGACCAGTGGCGAATTTAGGGAGGGGGAAAAAGGGACAAATGCCCCAAGTGGCAAGTTTTTGGGGACGGCGAAAAATTATAGCTTTTGCTTGTGTGTTCATGATTTTTTTAATTTTTAATTTGTATACCTTTTTCGGTATTGTTATTGTGTTTAATATATATACGTGCACACTGCACATTTTGTATTTTAAATAAATAAATCAAACGATACCTACGATACCTAGGTGTATATTATAATTATTATACATAATATAATATTTTCGTTCGATGTTCATACAATAATCAATAACTTTTAAAGTGTTATCTGTAGGACCTCGACATCGGGTGTGGTAGACGTAACGGGCGTTACTTGTCATACATAGACTGTAAGTATATACTATATAGTGTTGGGTAGTAACGTAACGAAAGTAACACGTTACTGTAACGGCGTTACTTTGCTTGTAACGCGTTACGTTATTTCATTAGAATTATTTCCAAGTAACGAAAATTTAATGGAAATTACTTTTTAAAAGTAATTTCTATAAAATAACGCGTTACAGTTTCGAATTATTAAGTACCTACCTACCTATTGCGAATTGAAAAAAAATATATGCATAATGGGGTATTATTGTATGTTTACCAATCTAATATGTATATATATTTAATTTTAACTAAGCACAATTCAGTTTTCAATGGTTTTGACGTTTGAAATGTCTAATTGCACCGTAAATCACGAGAACAGTTAATTAAATTTATTATTTAATTTGATTCCTTTAAATAGGTTTATTATGAATATAGCTTGGGTGGAAGACTAAATTTTAAATTATCCTATTAACTATATATGTTTTTTAAAGAATTTTCTTGTTCAATTTGACTGCAGAAGATATTTGCCAAGCAATTAAAATTTTATTTTTATTTTTGTAACGAGAAAGTAGTGAATTACTTTTCTATTTTAAAAATAAAGTAATTTCATTACAATTTTATTTGAGTAACGAGTAAAGTAACTTACCCAACACTGATACTATAATACTATATTATTATTAACTAGTTAAAATACGTAGAATCTAAAAAAAAAACCAAAATTCGTTAGGCGCGGTGTGGGTAAGAAGTAAGAACGATTTATTAGTTTCGGGTTCATTAATATTGAAAAATACGTTGATATTGATTATTGACACGTTATCATGATAAGAGCAGTATTAAATGATTTTGCTAATCAATTTGATGATGATACCTATTACCTATTAATTAATAATTTATACATAAATATATATACCTCAATATTAAGTAATATTTTTATTTTATGATGGCGGGGGCGTGAGGGATGTTTTTTCGTTAAAATACCGTATGACTTGAGCCCCTGTCAATATAATTCGCTATTTGCGCCTATGGATTTTAGCGATGTCCCATTATAAGAAAGTTAACAGTACTTCAACCACCTGTGATTAGAACTTCCTCAAATGCAATATCGTTAACTTAATTGTTTAAATATTATTATACATTATTCATCTTCATATTCTCAAACTATTTCAGAAATAATATTCATTAATCTATTTTAAGTTTCAACCTTTATGTTCACTTTAGTAGTTACTAGTTGGGAACTTTTCTGTTCTACCGGACATACTTTTCTTAGTTTAAGTTGTGTAGTTAAGCATACTAAAAACGATGGTGAAGTTAGAATATGGCGATCGGGCTTAGTTTTAAAGTTATAGCTATACCTAATTGAAATTTATAGTATTTTCGTATACACCCTGCAGCGTAATCAGTCACTCGTTCACTACGCTGGTTTAGACAATTTTATTAAAATCGAAAACATCCCTCGACTTGTTATGTAAAACCACCTTAGGTGGGTGCGGACTTTAAATAGCTATAACTTCAAAACTAAGTGTCTGACCGCCAAATTCTGACTTCATCATCGTTTTGAGCATATTTAACTAGATAAGCTAAAACAAAAAAAGAGTCCGGTAAAACAGATAGGTGCCTGCAGTATTTCCATTAGCGGAAATCCATTAAAATTCCAGGGGGGGCTAAAATCTTTAACACGTATGTGAGCGGGGGGCTTCGATCCCACACAACTAAAAACCTGTATATTTTTAGGGGTTAATCCCCTAAAGCCCAACCCATGATTAGTTCAGTATTAGTTGAGTTTGGAATCACACTATAACAGGACATAGGTTTAAATATTTGAATGAAATTTTGCTTACACTTTATAACTGTCAATAAACCTGATGGCTGATGACAACTGTCAATAGGTATTATGGTATCTAACTAAATCCCACAATAAGCAATCTCAGTTTCATAACAACGCAATAGCCACTTGCATACATTTTTAATGAAAATATTATTAATTTCAAAAATAAAAATTAGTAACCGAGCAGCAAAAAATGTAATGACAATACAACAAATAGATCACGTCACGTCATGCGATTTTGCTTCCAGCTGCAAATCGAACCAGGCCTAAGACTTGAGGTAGTAGGCAAAATTAATAAAATAAAATATTCGTTTGCAATAGACACGGGATCCCCTGTATTTATAATTAATGCTGACAATTCACTTATACAAATCACACCAAAAGTGACAGATTGCACAAATTACGACAAATGGTTCAAACTAAAAAATAACTCGACATTTATTTATGGCTGATGCAATTAATGTTTTTGATAATATT